CCATGTTGTTGCAAATGGCAGTGTCTCATTAGTTTTTATACCTGAGTAATATTCCATTGTGTATATATACCACATTTTCCGTATCCACTCATCCGATGATGGACATTTGGGCTGATTCCAACTCTTGGCTATTGTAAAGAGTGCTGCAATGAACATTGGGGTACAGGTATACCTTCGACTTGATGATTTCCATTCCTTTGGATATATTCCCAGCAGTGGGATAGCTGGGTCATATGGCAGATCTATCTTCAACTGTTTGAGGAATCTCCATACCATTTTCCATAGAGGCTTCACCATTTTGCAGTCCCACCAAGAATGTATGAGAGTTCCTTTTTCTCCGCAACCTCGCCAGCATTTATCGTTCAAAGTCTTTTGGATTTTCTGCATGATCCACAACAATAACAACCATCAGCATTTTTTAAAAATCATATTATATTTATTTGGATGAATGTGGAATTAAATCAATGCCTGTAAACTTAAATTTTCCCTTTTTTCTTCCTGGGTACGTTTTTTAAAACAACAGGAAAGTTTGCCTGAACATATTTAAAAATAGGATTTAAATTAAAATAAATCAAATCTACAACAAATTAAAATAAATTCTCCAGTACTGGCAATAAAAATCTCAGTGGCTGGAATGAATGTGAGATATAATTGTCTTTGGGGTCTACAAGATAAATAAAGGAGGGGTCAATTCAGAGTGACACTATTTAATAGAATGAAAATGAGATGTAAATCAGAACTCATTTCTTTCATAAATGTAGGAGAAAAAAACAATAACTACAAGCACAAATAGAAAAGTGAATATGCTTTGGATTCTACCTCTGCCTGAAACTAGAATTTGTCCTATTCTATTTTCCTGGTTTATTTTTTAAAAATCCATTCTATTAACTGGTATCCTCAGAGAACTTTATTTACATTAACCCATTTAACCTGAGAATAACTCTCTATGGTTTGTATATATTAGTTGTTTACTTTACAGATGGGGAAACTATAAACCCATCTTAGAAACAAAGATAGGTTAAGTGACTTACCAAGGTCACACATTTAGTAAATAATAAAGGTGTAATCTGAACCCAGGCAATCTTATCTAGATTATTATATAAATTTATCCAGTCTCCATCTTTCACTCCTGCTTCACTACAATCCATTCTCCAAACAGCAACAAAATGAATGGGAAGAGCACATCACTCCCCTGCTTAATATCCTCTGCAGTTTCCCACAAATTCCAAACTCTTTATTATAATATACATGACCCTACCTGAGCTGGCCCCTGCCTCTCTCTCTCTGACCTCATCTCATACCCTCATCCTCATTCACAACTTTATATCTAAATTGACCTGCTACTGTTCTTCCAATAAACATGCTGAAGTTTATTCCCACCACAGAGCTGTAAAGCAAAAATTGCACCAAACAAAGTTAAACAGTCAAGAAAGACTTTATTCAAGGCTGTTGCAATAGGAGAGAGAGGCCAGAACTAAGTCTTAACTTGACTCCACTGAAACAAAGGGCAGTAGGGTTTTTAAAGGCTGGAATGAGTGGGAGCATTTAGGCCATCTATGTGAGCTACTTAGTTTTACCCAAAGAAAAAGTAAACTTCTTTCGTCTTTATGACAGGAGGTGGTTTTATAACTTGAAGCAAGGCGTCCACTGAATTTAAGTTCCCACCCTCCCATAGAAACTAGAAGACTGAGGTGCTATCTTCTTTGATGGTTTGGAAGAGATGGCTTTCAGGTCCTTGAGAAAGACATTTCCTGGGTTGTAAAACTATCAAGAGGCTTTTAAAAGGTTTACATACACTTCAAAGGGACAGAGAAAGAATTTACAAGTTTTCTAAAATAAACACTGTAAGAAAGGAAGGTCAGTGTGTAGAGTCAGGAAGAAGCCTGTCTAAAGTTTCACAAAGCTAAGGTGAAGGTAAAGGCCATCCTTGTCAGCGCCTGTGCACTTGATGTTCCTTCTTTCTGGAATGTTCCTCCCCCAAATCTTGGCATGATGCACTCCTTTTTGTCATTAGAGTCTCACTTCAAAGAGGCCTTCCCTGAAGGTGTATAACATTACCATCTCTACCCTTCAGTCATGGCTCTGTTTTCTTAAAGACAGTAGGGACCTGTGATCATATATGCTGATATGACTCTGGTGCCTAACTCTGGCATATTTGTCTGGACTAATACACATTTGTTTTTATTACTTAGTTAGTTTGTTGTTGTTTTGGCGACTGGTTAGTAAGGGGATCTGAATCCTTGACCTTGGTTGTAACACTGTGCCATAACCAACTGAGCTAACTGGCCAGCTCACACATTTGTTAAATGAACAAATTAATGGAAAGAAAGTTTATTAATGAAAAGGAAAACTGCCTGTGGCAAAGAATGACAGACATTTGTCACATAAAACTAAAGATTATTTTGTGAATCAAAAGAAGGTAAAATGAAAATAACTGTTAGTTTCAGCAATAAACAGTATCATATGGCCCTAATAAGGTCAGAATAAGAATTCATGTGTCTATGTTTAGTTTGGTTGTAGATTGTTATTTGAACCTAGGGAAAAGTTTGGAGTGACATTCGTGGTTTGACAAAATCTTAAGTAAACAGAGTAAATGATATGCCCTTGTCTATTCCCTAAGGAACACAAGTTCTGTCCCTACAGATCAGACAAGGAAAGATTAGCATTGTACCTGTGAGAAACATAAAAGCAGCAGAAGAGGTGAGAATACTTAATAAATTGACATGTAATTACTAATTGGCTTAATATTCTACAAAAAATAAATAAAATACATTTATATCCCTAAAAGGAAGGGCATCTGGTATACATACACCCCAAAACATAAAGTGATACAGGATGATGTAGAAATTAGCTAATTCATCTACTTAAAATTATCCTGGAAAACATAATAAGGCATTATAGTCATTCAGAAAATCCTAGATCTTTGCCATGGTTTTTACTTTTGTTCATAAGTGTTATGAAGATTTGGAAGTAGATGTTTTCAGGATCTTTCTTGAGGTACATAGGGTTGTTGTGAATCTTCAAATGTAAAAATGCTGAGAAAGAGGTGAGAAGGCCCAGAAACAAAGTAGAACAGAATAGACATTCCATCAAGTCAGTAGTAATTACCTTTTCAAATTTCTGGCTTCTACATTTGCATCCTCAAGTCAGAATTACAAATAAAATAAATCCAGTGTAACATTTTTGCTCTCAGTCATGATTTCCAACAGGTGAGAGACAACCAGCCCGCTATTGCAAATTGTGTCTCCATTGAAAGAAAACCAAGATAATAAATGATTCTCTCATTTTACCTCTTACTTTCATTTTGTTATCTTCTATTGGCCCTTCTTACAGAGTCCATAGTGGATTTATAATACATTGATATATTTATAATAATAATTAATTTTTGTACAGCAATCTGAGATTTTCAAAAATACCTCCATATTCATTATCTATAATATACTTACAATCTATAATATTTACAATAACTCAGTAAATAACTATCATCCCCATCTTAGAGATGAAGAAACTCAGAAACAGAGAATGCAAACAGCTTGCTGTATCAAGGAGTTAGCAAATGTTAAACGTAGAATACAAACTAAATCCCCCTAAATCTAAATTACATTCTCCTTACACTGTTCCACTATGTCCATAAAGTCAACATTTCCACTCCCTTGGGAAGGACTGGGATGGCTACCAGTAGCTCTGTTAACAAAGAATAGAATAATTCCACTAAGAATGATAGAGGCTCAATAATAAAAGCTTAATTTATTTGTCTGTTTATGTTCTGCAGCCGAGCCAAAGGGAAAGTGATAATACACGCTGTGCTGAAGTTTAAATCCTGTTATAAAAATAATACAGGAAAATTTTGGGATAGGATCGAAACCATTTTACACCAGAAGCTAACAGGTGAAACTGGATCTTTATGTATAGATCCTTCCTCGTTTAAATTTTCAGGTAAGCCTTCTTATGTAAGATATAGAATGATTTTCATCTTTTAGTTTAAATATGGGGTTTTGTTATGCAAATGAAAACAACATTCTTCTCATTAAATATCATTCCATATAGAATGATAGTTACTTTTAACCACTATTAAAGTTATCAGGGTCCCAAATAACATTTCTTTGCAAAAACAAGGCAGCCTTAAACTCTTAGGGCTTATTCTGTGGATCATTATTACTCCCTCAGTTCTTCCTGGATATCTCAAAAAATGCCAGAATTGTTGGAACCTCTTTAACATCAAACTTACTTCTTGATATGTGTTTAATAAACCAAATCTCTCTCCCTTTCATGTATAATCTAATTCTTATTCTCGGTCACCTAACAATATTGTGAGAGACACCCTCTAAAATGTGGGGACAACTCTCCCTTCATTACCAGGATAATAAGTGTCTCTCAGATCTTGATAAAAGTACAGTCAACAGTGTACAGCTAAGCTGAGTTATCACTTCTCTGCTATAACAAACTTGACCAAGGGCAGAAAAGTATTGCTACCCCTACAGGAAGGACTAAAAGGACAAAAAGGTTTAGGGGAAAAAAATATATACCAAGTGTTCATTTTCATGGAACAGCAAAAGGATCCAAAAGCAAAACCAGAGCATGCTTCTCCTGGATAGGAAGCCATCATGTTGTTGAAATGGGACTCTCCTTGGGTTAATGGATGCTCGCTTAGAACCTTTCTTCTCACACAGCTTACCCTGTGTGGGGTGACCACAAAATAACAGAGAGAAACAAGCAGCTGTCCAATTTGCAGAGAATTTTCCTTCAAAGATATATTTTTAGAAACTCATATGCTAAAAACATGAACTCAAATGTAGAGAAACATAGCATTATTATGTTTCTTTATGGTACTTATTATGTTTCTTTATGGTATATGTAAAGAAACAGCATTGTTATGTTTCTTTTATGGTATTTAGAGGAATATCAGTATTCTTCCAAACTTTAAGAACATTATGTAATATCCCAAGAAAACAGACCTTCAGGGGCCTTCTCCTAATTTATAATTTTTCTCAGTAATTTTATTTATTACTACAATTATATGAAGAGCAGTGACTGTTAAGTGTAGCACCTTAAGTATGGATGGTGCTTGGTATTGTCTTAACCTCCTCCTGTCATTTAGAAAATTCCTATCCCTCCGGAGCTCTTCATTCTACATCAGAAACTAGATGCCTCATAAAACTGGCTGGGACTCATGTGTGCAGGGTCAGTCCCAGCAGCCGACAGGGCCAGTCCTCCAAAACCACCTTGAATCAAGTTGATGCAAGGCTCACATTCAAGACAGCTCTCACCGAGATGAATTGTGAGTCTTCCTTGGTTGCCACATAAATGTGTCTGTACCTCAGGGATCTGTGAAAAGTTTATTTAGGCAGTCAAAGTTGCTGTCACAACAACTTATTGAATAGCCTGACCTTCTTATGCTGTCTGGTTAGTTCAGTTGCTTAGAAACTGCATCTAAATATGTCAAGGTTGTTGGTTTCATTTTCACACAAGCTGCTTAACACAGAGGAAAAGTCACCACTTCCTACAGCTGTGGCTTACATCTCACTGGCCAGTGCTGTTAGGTACAGTGAATAAGCTAATAAAGCACTAGTGTCCTATATTATTATGCATAGAAAGAGATGATATAGCATAGTGGTTAAGGTCATGGGTTCTGCTCTGAGGTGGCCTGAGATTTGAATCCCAGGTCCTCTACATATTAGCTGTGTGACTTTGGAAAAATTACTTAACCTTTCTTTGACTTAGTGTAATAATATCATCATGGGAATGGTTATAATAATAATTCATATGGTTTTTGTGAGCATTTCAAAGACCTAATACATATAAATATACATAATACATACAAAAGCACTTAAATAAACAGTATTGCTACAGAATAAGTATCGTTAATTGTTGGGTTTTTATCAGGAGAAGAAAAAGCACTCAAAATGTATGTCCTATGGATTGTGGATTTGCAAGTCAACTTGCAGATAGAGAGATAGACAGACAGACAGACAGACAGACAGACAGATAGATAGATAGATAGATAAAGATAGGTAGATAAAGAGAAGATAGACTATTATTTTTATCAATAGTCCCGCTCCTATCCTACCCTCCCCCCCAACTCAGGCTTCCCTATGGGTGAGAGGGAAGGAAGTAGAGACATTCCTAAGGGAGAGTGACCTTCCAAAGCTCTAGTACAAGGACAACTCCGCCTCTCCATTCCTAAGCTCCTACCAAAAACAAATCACTGTATCTCACAGTCTTAGTTTCTTCATCTTTAAAAAGAAGATTATGGTATCATATACTTCACAGTGTTTTTTTTTTCTGAGAATAAATGAACACGTGCATCTAAAGCACTTAGCACAGTGCCTAGCATAGCACAAGTACTCAATAAATACTAATCAAGATCTTCTTCTATATATGTGTACACTTTTACAAAGGACTATTTTCCCAGCCATAGCAGTTATTCCTCTAATAACTGTATACGTGAATGTTCACTGCACAGCCAACTGAATCTTACGGAATATACCTGTGTGCCATTTATACAAGAATTGAAAATAGGGCAATAAGCCCATTTAAAAAGACTTTTCGGCCGGCCCCGTGGCGCACTCGGGAGAGTGCGGCGCTGGGAGCACAGCGAAGCTCCCGCCGCCGGTTCGGATCCTACATAGGACTGGCTGGTGCGCTCACTGGCTGAGCGCGGTGTGGGCGACACCACACCAAGGGTTGCAATCCCCTTACCGGTCACGAAAAAGACAAAAAAAAAAAAAAAAAAGACTTTTCAAGCCTCAGGGATGAAGAAAATCAAGAATAAAAATTATTGCTCATGTAGAAATAAAAACGATTAATCAAGTTAAGTATCCATTAAAATTTTAGCATTTAATAATTATAACTACCCCAGGAAAATGGTTTTATACAATTCTTGGTTATAATGCTAAACCAAACCAGGACTTAATTTGTTTATCCACTTATTGAATAAATACTGAATGAACACTAACTATGGCCCAGGAAATTGGGATAAAATTCTACTGTACTAATTATTTTTTGTTTATTCTTTTCTTTTCCTATGCATGTAACAAATGATACTAGAATTAGTATATAAAAAGAGTTTTGTTTTATGATTTTTAAAAAATTTGCCATGGATGATCAAGACTAAAAATCAAAATTTCTCAGAATTTCCATTTAGCATTTATATTCTCTATAATTGCCATGCATTGCTAAATAATTTATTCCACATCAGTAGCAAAATCAGGAATAGTGAAAAGGGGTTGACAATTTCTGGAAAAGAGCAAATGAAATGAAAATTCACTATTCATTGCACGGTGGACATTTAAAAGTCTTCAAAGTTGGAAAATACCTTTGAGATCTCTAGTGTCATTGCCTTATTTACAGATAAAGAACATCAAGATTTAATGAAGTAAAATGATTCATCCTAAGTAATAACACAAATAAATAATGGTCAGACCAAGACTGGAACCATGTGTTTTGATTCTAAGTGCATTGTGGATTTTCTACACTATTTTTATGAATCCGTTTAGAACTGATGGCTGCACTAAAAATCTGTTTAAGCTGCCAATTTAAAATTTCTTTTGAAAAAAAAGATTTGTCTTCTTTTTCCAAACCTGTAGTCGGTCATTCCAAATTTAAATCTTTTAAATTCTGTCCCCAATTTTACTATTAGTGAAGAAAGAATGTAAAGCCATATTTGACTTAAAGAATTGCTGAAATGGAATAAAATTAAGTAAATTTAATGAACAGTTATGAACTACTTATACAATCGCCTTGCTAGGCACTATGGGTAATTCAAAGAGAAAGAGAATATCATCCCTCCTCAAAAAGTTTACTTGCACTTATGTTTACACTGAGAGTTAGTGAATATGGGATGAGAGGCACAGTTACTATCATTATTTGGCAAATGTATTTAAAGCTTTGCAGTATAAACTGCATGATGTGGATTGGACCTAATGCCATCATTAGTTGGTAAAGTCAAACAGTGACTGAAAGTTGCTAAATGAGAATAGCTGAAAACTCTTTCTTTTAACGTGCCCAAAGCCCCATATTTCTCAGTCCACTGGCCTATACATCTTTGTCATGACTTTTGGCCAACAATCACAGTCAAGGTAAAGTTCCTTTGACACAGCTCTTGTAGAAGCCCAATTTTTTCCTTTTCACCACTTTTCTTAGGGGTTTTCTGTTCCTATTCATTTATTTATTTTAGTTAACAGATAAAAATTGTGTATATTGATCATGTACAACATGATGTTTTGAAATATATATATATAATGTGGAATGGCTAAATTGAGCAAATAACACATGCATTACCTCAGATACTCATCATTTTTTGTGGTGAAAACATTTAAAATCTACTCTTTCAGCAGTTTTCAAGAATACAATACAGTGTTATTAACTATAGTCACCTTGTTGCATAATAGATCTCTTGGATTTATTCCTCCCACCTAACTGAAATTTTGTGTACTTTGACAAACATCCTCTCAATCCTATCCCCAGCCCCCAGTAACCACCATTCTACTCTCTACTTCTTTGAGTCAACATTTTTAGATTGCACATATACATGAGATCATGCAGTATTTGTCTCTCTGTGCCTGGCTTATTTCACTTAACACAATGTCCTCCAGGTTCATCAACATCATTGCAAATGACAGGATTTCCTTTTTTTTTTTTTTTAAGGCTGAGTAGTATGCTATTGTGTGTATATACCATTTTTCCTTATCCATTCATTCGTTGATGAACATTTATGTGCCTCCATATCTTGGCTACTGTAAATAATGTTGCAATGAACATGGGAGTGCATATATCTTTTTGACATATTGATTTCATTTCCTCTGGATATATAGCCAGCAGTAAGATTACTGGATTATATTGTAGATCTATTTCCAATTTTTTAAAGAACCTCCATACTGTTTTCCAATATAGCTGTACTAAATTGCATTCCCACCAACAGTGTCCAAGAATTTTCT